CAATATTTAAATAAGTCTGCGGTGCAAAGTCGACCTGAAGTGGTGGGTTTTCTTTTGAAAACTATTTTCAGTCGCGGGACATTTTACAAATCAAAATAAATGTATGAGTCTCACTAGTGCTCTGTTCTTCCGACAGATCGGGAGAGAGGGGGCGGCGTTTTGCGTGATGTCGACCTGCGAATGCAGACACGATGGCTGGATTGCGTTTACATTACACTGAGATCCGATCACAATGCGTCCTCGACTACCTCTGGACCAGGACACGCTGATCGGATAACATTCCGATCAGAAGCGCGTTTACACTTGTCTTTTCAATGTGTATGTGGACAACATCCGGATACAGGTCACATGTTAATGCCAAGTGTAAACGCAGCTGAGATGGTGCCGCTGCATGTCGTGCCAAACCTCTCACGGCAGCGTCATCAGCTTGAGATAGGTTTTTTGAGATCGGCCTTTTTAGAGACAGTCGGTCAATCATCCCAACGTGATTATCGGCCGATAGTGATCGGTAGCCGATCAATCGGAGCACCCCTAATAAATATAAATACTTCTGCCTCTTGTCACATAAAAAAAATCTGTCCAAAGGCTCCTTTTTCATATACTTATTTTATTTTGAACACTTTGGCCCACTATACACATCAAATGTAGCTTGTGTTTACAAAATGCTGGAGGTCCAGAAGTTTTGTGAATTTATGCTTTATAATGGTCCTTTAAATAGCTATACTGACACTTTATTTGTCTACAAAAATGGAAAATTATTGAACTTTTAAAAAACTGACATTTGTCTCGAAAAGAAATGTCAATGTTTATTGAAAATGTACTTGCTTCTCATTCACACTACCATTCAAAAGTATGGGGTCAGTAAAAAAAAAAAATTTTTATATATTTTTATTCAACAAGGATGTATTACACTGTTCAAAAGTGACAGTAAAGACTTTAACATTATTACAAAAATTTATTTCTATTCATCAAAGAATACTTAAAAAAAAAATTCATCAAGGTGTCCACAAAAATATTAAGCAGCACAACGGTTTACAACACTGGTAATAGTAAGAAATGTGAAAATTTCTGAAGGATCATGTAACACTGAAGAATGGAGTACTGACACAAAACTTTGGAAGTAGTAGTGTATATTGACACTTTTAAAACTTTAAAAAAATATTCAGGACCAGAGAAAATGTTTCCACGGCAGGTAAAATTCTTAACTAATGTCTCAACCTGGGCATCAGAAAGAAATCCTAACTGTTGAGGCCTGATAAGTCAACCTCCACCATCAAGACTGTCTTTGCGCAATGCCAAATATGCAAAACACCCATTATTCTACAGCGAAGCAAAGCAGGCACTGACATCACAACAGACTCGTACCTCCAGTTCACCGCCCTCGGCCTCCAATTCAGAGGAACAAAGACAAGAACAATAAACTATGAGAAATGTTACGTCAACAAGCCTTGATGATGGCCCGCATTCCTACAGAACAAACGTAAAAGGGCGTAAACAGAGGTTATGAGAGAAATCAATCTTACCTCGTCTGCTACGGCTTCATGTGTTTTACTCGCAACCTCTGGGTGAGGCTTTGGCTTGCTGATCTCCTCTGCTGCTTTGATCTATGGAAGAAGACAAGCTGTTATTAAGTATTGAAAGCTGAGACTTAAGGTCCTTGCACACTGAGTCCGAAATTTTCGTATGCGGTTTTTTATTTTTTTTCGTATTCGTCATCCTTTCCTATCAAAATGCTTGCTAAGGATGCGAAAACGCAGAAAATCAAACCTGATCCGAATTTTTTATGACGGACGAAAGTTTCGGAGTCAGTGTGTAAACGTGATTGACACAACGTGAGGTCGTATTTTTATTTAATTTTTTAACATGCGAAAATTTCGGACTCAGTGTGCAATGGCCTTTAGAGTTGAAATGTTACAGGAATTTGCTTTAAGGTCTAGAAATAGTGCAGAATGCTAAATATTTCTTAATTTTTGTTTGTGTTCAAATGTTCACAATTCTAAAACTTTATTTCTAGGTTTAAATGGGATTTTAAGTGCAAGAGAGTTAATCTGATTTGGAAAAAGACTGGTAAAATTGGTCATTCATCTGTCACTGTGGCTGGTGAGCAAAGCTACAGAATCATAAAATCATGTGAGCAAACCTTTCTATCGCCTCTGTCCTTTAGCTTCTCGCCAGTCTCTCTGTGGCGTTCTTTTTCTTTTTCTCTCTCCCGTCTTTTCTCGCGATCTCTCTCCTTGTCTCGTTCTCTGTCTCTGTGAGATTCGCGTTCCCTTTTCTTATCCCTCTCTTTATCTCGTTCTCTCTCCTTGTCCCTGTTGCGGTCCTTCTCCTTCTCCTTCTCCCGTTCCTTCTCTCTGGTCTTGTCTTTCTCCCGATCCCGGCTCTTGTCCTTGTCTCTGTCTTTTGTCCGGTCTCTTTCGCGTCCCTTGTCTGACCTCTCAGCATCTCGCCGGTGGTCCTTGTCGTCTCTCTTGCTCTCTTGATCTTTCGGTTGATCTGGATCTTTCTGCTCTCGGCTCCCGCTGCTCTCCTTGATGCCCTTCCTCTCCTGGACAACAGCCAGAGACTACATCAAATTTTCACTTTCATAACAATAAACCTAACAGCTCCGTCAGCACCCAAAAGTCTTAATAACAGATTTCATGAGTGAAATGAAAAGGCACAATAAAAAAAGCCCAAGGGAGACAAGTTGAGGAATGCATAATGATATAAGACAACAGAAAACTCTGGTTGAGCTGAAAATATCATTGGGTCAAAGCCTCAAGCAGGTCTCACCTCACGGTCTCGGTGGTGCTCCCTGCCCTCTCTGTTCTCCTTGTCCTGGGACCTGGAGGTGCTGGGCTTCCCCTTCTGATCCACCTTGTCTCCTGCTAACACCCGTCTAACAGCCTCGTCACTGGAGAGCTGGAACAAGGACAGAACACGCTGTTTAACAACAGCTTAATATAATAAACACAAGACCCAAGCAACCCTCAGTAAGATCTCGCACCAAACAAAAATGGATTCAGAAACAGATAGGGTAGCATGGTGGTTAATGGTCTGGGCCGGTGACGAAAAAAAATGTAGGTTGATAATGCAATCCATGAACAATTCATGGGGATTCTCCCTGGAATAAATGGACTATTAGTCACTCTGGATAAAAACATCAGCTAAATATGTGTGCACAGAGTATCGCTTTCTGTAAAGCCGCTTTGAAACAATGTGTATTGTGAAGAGCACTATACAAATAAATTAGACTTGACTGGCTGACAAATTACTAACAAAGTTGTTACATTTTCTGAAGAAAACGTGTGGTGGTGCTTGATACAAAACTCACTGTTACCAACAGAGTATTGTGGGTGATCTATATGTTGTAAAGTGTTATTTTAGAATTGTTTAGTTATTTTATTATTTCACTATTATAGTATTAATATTTTAAACAGCTTTTATTTTCATATTTTTAGTTTTCATTTTAGTCTAAGTTTTAATCATTTTGTTATGTTTTTAGAATATTTGCATTTAACTAGGGATATGCCGGTATCAAATTTTCATGTTGCGATTAATTGCTAATGCTTTTATCACGGTATATGGTATTATCACGATATTGAAATTTAGTTGCAAAAAAGTGTTGTCATAATACAGTGTAACAGGTTTAATAACTTTTTTCTTATAACAAAAACAACTGAACATTTAAATACAATAAAGCAATACACAAAAAATGTATAAAGTTAAAAATTTTACACAGATTAAAGTGAAAAAGAATGATAAAGACTAATAGGTATCACTTTACAAAAAGATCTCGTTAGTTAACCTTAGTTAATGCATTAACAATCACAATGAGCAATAGCTACATTTGCTACAGTTATTAATCTGTTTTTCATTGGCAGTTTATGTTAAAGGTGCAGTAAGAGATCTTGGAAAATGCTAACTTTAGCCTGATAGCACTGAAAGCGAACGTCCCACCCTCCCTGCAATCGCTGTCCAAAGCCACGCCCCCTGAACGCATATACGCTCACAGACCAGAATACCAGAGACAAACTACAAGATTTGAAAATCGTGGCGCATCAAACACTACAAGATATTATTAAGATCACGCAGCAGCTTGTCAGCTATGTTTACATATGTTAGCTAGCGTGCTAGCAGCTTTCTGCACTCACCCGGTACGTTCAAAACTGAGGCGATTTCACCCCAGCACTTCTCTTTCTCCTTACATTTGTGATACGTTTCCGACACATTATACAGACAGTTGTGTTACTACAAAATTCAAGAAGCAGTTTCCTCCATCTCGACTTTCCAACGGAGCCGTACAGCAGCTGTTTTGCGATCGCGCATTGGCTATTGTGAAAGTACTGACGTAATCATATAGCCGTCATCATCCCGATTTAAATCCTAACTAATGCTGGCTGCACACTAGACGATTTTCAAATCCTAAACGATTTTAAAACCATGGGAGACCACAGACATGAAGACAGTTTCAACTGATTGTTAGCCTTATAATCCTCTGAACGCGCACACTAGACGATTCCAGCAGATCGCGAGACCACACACTTGATGATTGTAGGAACGATTTCACAGTGACACTAGATCTCATGGAGATTCGCGAGATCAAACTTGACTAGAGAAGATAAACAAATGGAGAACAATCGGCGCTGTCAGCTGGCTCTCCCAGTGTGTGTTCTGTTGTACAGTGAAAAACAAAGTATAACAAAGAATATGGGCAATGTATTCTGCTTTCTTGGCATTTTTGTGGCTGCCAAGTTTCAGCTATAGAAGCACGCAACATCCGGTAAGTGACGCTTGCTCGCTCTCACTGGTATCACGTCAGAGGCAGCCAGATCAAGAGTCAGAAATATCAAACATGTTTGATATTTACGATTTGAGTTCGGCGACGCTCCGTCTCGATCAGGAGCAGTTAAATAATTGTAATGACACCACACAATAGAGGATTTTTTGGACAAAAAAATTGTTTGCGAGAAGCCTTAAATCGGGCCATGCCCCCTGATCTTTCAGAAATGCAAATCGGGCTTAAAATCGGCCTTAAAGGGGTCATATGATGCAATTAAAATTTTTCCTTTCTCTTTGGAGTGTTACAAGCTCTTGTAATGTCTACGTCACGATGTGGGAAGATTTGCATAACGCCGCCCAAATGTTCACGCAAAGAAAGAAGGCGTAACTTTTATTCTCGCTGTAGTATTGTTGTTGCCGCCGCCTCCATGTCGTGAAGGTGCTGTGTGTTTCGTTGTGAAAGCGAAACTACTTTGTTTGGCCTTCCAAAAGAGGACACAACTAATAATGTTCTTTTTAGCAACATCATATGACCCCTTTAAAATCCTCTAGTGTGCAGCCAGCCAGCATAACAAACATGTTTGATCGGAGCAGATCGGGAGGTGCAAGATTCGATCGGTGAACGCCTCACATTACCAGATAATCCGCGCCGAACATCGGGACCGATCGAGGTGCTCGACAAGATTTTTGCTCCGATTCTCGGGAGGGGAAAATCAGGGCTAAATCGGGCTAAAAATCCTGTAGTGTGAGCCAGGCTTAAGTTTTTTTAAGGGTTTTTTTTCCATCTAATGTTTATATTTTATTTAATTTCAGCTTCTTTTTTTTTCAATTAACAAAAATGAATTAAAAAGTTTTAGATAACACAAACAATACTTGTGTTTTTCTGAATGTGTTGATTTACTTTTGCTTATTGGCTCAAGTCAATGGGATTTTTTCCCCCACCCAATTTTATTTTATTGTCCTCCAGGTCTAAAACTAAAAATGAACAGCACCTCCCCTCAACAAAACATACAATTTATGTACAATTTATGTATAATTTAGATCCACAGCACAAACTAAATGTAAGGGTTAATTTATTTTAATTAATTAATTTATTTTAATATTGATTCCAATGCCAAAAAATTTTTCAATATGCTGTTCACAAATGCATAAGAGATTTGAGAGCTGGGCACATGAAAAGATTGTCAGTGAAAAATGACTTTCGGTCTGTTCTTCACAGAAAGCTATAATTTGACTTCTGAAGACTTAGACTTATTGCTTCTGAAGCAATAAAAGGTCAAATGTTTTGCTCAAACTCTCTAAGGTGACAGAGCAGGATTGTCGATTTTCCAGTACCTGGGTCACCCCTATAATCTTTAGCTATCCAGCAACTTTCACCACTGTGGCGCTCTCATGTTTTTTCATCTTGCAACCTATAAAATATCCCAATGTGCTGTAGAGCAGCAGCAGAGCTGTCATTCAGCTCAATGTTTCGCACCTGCTCTTTGCCCTGCAGGCATCAGTGGGTTCCCCTGATAACGCTGCTGGCGATGTTCCATCGCTCCTTAACCTTCAGAAAAGCTCAAGGGTGCAATTAAATGAATACGTTTATAAATTACCCCCTGCTTGGACATCATTAGTCTTGAGTCATTCACTAGTTAAATGGCTTTGAGCGAATCCTGCAATATAGTAGTAGCTGAGTGGTCTTTAATCGCAGGACTGACCTTGTTGAGACAGCACTTAGCAATGACCTGCAGCAGCTCGTTGGTCTTCTCTGGTTCGTGTCCGGCTACGATTCGAGCGGGTTTAGCAACCAAGGGCTCTCCGCTAACCAGCATCACCACATCGATGGCCTTCTGAAGGAACACTATTTTTGAGTCTTTGTCCTGAAGGGAACATGAAGAGAAAAGAGTAGTTGAAACTGCAATTTACTTTCATTAATGCGATAAAAACATTAACTTCTACAAAGCTGAGCATTATTGGGCCATATAATCAATTAATAATAATATAATAATAAATAATCTTATATATTAAGAATTCTATACATTTTAAAAGATACAGGAAATACACTCATTTCTAAAAGAAAATCTTTAGGGTCAGTAAGATATTTTTTAAAGAAAAAAATACTTTTATGCAGCATGAATTCATTAAACTGACCATTAAAGCTGAACATTAAAGTGACAATAAAAGAGATTTGTAATGTTACAAATACTAAATATTTCTACTTAAAATAAATGCTGTTCTTTTTTGGCATACATTTGTAAAAGATTTAACAAATAGAATAGAACAATTACACACTTTAAAGTAACAACTGGAAAAATCAAGATGATCTGTAACTTTATCTTACGTAAATCATTTGTGGTGTCAGTCTCATTTTGTAAATACTTTATAAAACGTGTGGCACTTGGACGTTTAGAACTTTCCGACAGAATATCAGTATCAGATTTCCTGACTAAATGTTGCATAAACATGTTACGTCAAGAAAATAATATTTTTCTAATAAGAATTAAACTAAAAGAACAGAAGAAGCTTCATCATTTTGGTCACCACAAAATGTTTTTTATTTTGGTATAGCAGAGTTATTTTAGGTTTAGGCTTAATTGCACTCTACACAAAGAACCTAAAGTTATCCTGATGCTTTGAAAAAAAAAAAAAACGCTGTACATTCACTCCCCCCACCTACAATCCCTGCCGGTACGAGACTCGAACCCGCAACCTTTGGGTTACGAGTCCGACTCTCTAACCATTAGGCCACGACTTCCCCAGTAGATAACAGACAACAGTAGATACAGCATAACCAGCAGCTTGATGATGCGTCCACTCCATTAAACCCTCTTTTTCTGTATTTCTGCTTTGCTGGTTATGATAAAGTGCAACTGTCCATATTGTCATTTAATGCTTTCATACTTCATGAGGTTCCTAATGAGGTCCCAGCGGCAGTACAACCTGTATGTTGATGTGATCTGTTATGATTTTACACACTCAGCAGTGTTTAATATCCAACTACTGGCTACACAATATCCATGTGATAGGAATGTTTCATAAAGCTAATCACTAAAATCAGGCGTATTTTAAGAAAACATGTCACATACATTGCAACACAAAATTTAAAAAAATCTATTTGCATTAAATGAAGCTCATTTTAGGATGATTAAGATGCATTCATGACTTCATGCATTATGACAATATGACAATTAAGCACATTTTACAGTAAAAACAATAATATTGTGAAATATTATTGCAATTTAATATATAGTTCAAAATATTTGAAAACATTATTTATTCCGGTGACAGCTAAATTACATTCTCAGCATCATTACTCCAGTCTTCAGTGTCTCGTGATCCTTCAGAAATCATTCTAACATGCAAATTTGAGGAAAACATATTCATGTCACATGCATTTCAACACAAAAAAAGAAACAGGTTTTGCATAAAATGAAGCACATTTTAGGACCATTAAGATTGTATGCCTTATGACATTAAAGCAAGTTTTCCCTCTATACTTTCTTAAGCATAATGGGTCCAGACACTGAATAGTTTGAGCATTTAATTCCCATTAATCTCAATGGTGAAATTCCTTAATGCTATACAATGTAATTCACAATTATTTTTTATTTTAAATCAGCATAAATCAGAATCAGAAATCAATACAAAAATGCAAAAATTATACATTTATATACAATTATATAATATAATTATTATGATTGTTACAAAATAGGTGTATTTTCCATGTAATTTTTGGTATCAAAATACTTCCCTCTGTCCCAGTTATCATGTAAAGACAGCTATAAGTAAGCTATCTGTAGATAGATTCCCCTGAAAGTGTTCAAACTGTGGCGCTATCAAAACATTATAATGTCATGGTATACCGTCAGGCCGTCCTGCTTCGCACAGGTGTGGGGAGGTCATTTATTATGCATGCTGGGACATCAAAGGCCAGAGCTCTTTCAGACTGCCCCACGTTTGGAGAAGGATCAGACATGAACTCCTCACTTTGCACACAGAGTGCTGTGGTGAGCTAGTAACCTGCATCTCTTACAGGGTCACTGATACTGATCCAAGTAAAGCTAGTTAAAGGCACGAATCTTTTAACAGGGAGATTTATCACATCTCATGACTCACCACGACGTGGGACTTTGGCACGCTAATTAAATGGAGAGTCGAGTTACACTTGGTTATCTGATCAATGTCAACACCTTAACAGCAAAAAAAAAACAGAGCAGAGTGGAAGTCTGAGATACCGTGGCTATAGAATCCAAGAACACTTAATGAGGCAGAAGATCAGGTAGATACGAGAGGTCAACTGTAACATGATGTATCACTGCCAAGAAGGTGGATTAATTGGCAAGGAACATAAAACTGTCATATGATTGTAAGGTAGTACTGTAATAAGCAAGAAATAAGTGTCTAGTTTGCACATTTACATATGCACACATACTGTATATAGCCTAAAATTCTTCTTAAAGGTGCACTTAGTAATTTTTCCCCTTGTTAAAATAAATTTTACACTAATAAATTACAGCTTTGACAAATATGATTCAAGCTTTGACAAAATATGATTCTACTGTTAAAATGTTTAGGCTTGTAAGATTTTTTTAATGTACGAAGTCTCTGCATTTACTTAAATAAAAATACAGCAAAAACAGTAATACTGTGAAATATGATTACAATTTAATTTATTTTTAAATGTAATTTATTCCTTGTAATTAATGTTAAAAGTATAGCCTTGGCCAAAAGTTTTGAGAATGACACAAATATTAATTTTCACAAAGTCTGCTGCTACAGTGTTTTTAGATCTTTTTGTCAGATGTTACTATGGTATACTGAAGTATAATTACAAGAATTTCATAATTGTCAAAGGCTTTTATTGACAATTACAATAAGTTTATGCAAAGACACCGTATTTGCAGTGTTGACCCTTCTTTTTCAAGACCTCTACAATTCACCCTGGCATACTGTCAATCAACTTCTGGGCCACATCCTGACTGATGGCAGCCTATTCTTGCATAATAAATGCTTGGAGTTTGTCAGAATTTGTGGGTTTTTGTTAGTCCACCTGCCTCTTGAGGATTGACCACAAGTTCTCAATGGGATTAAGGTCTGGGGAGTTTCCTGGCCATGGACCCAAAATTTCGATGTTTTGTTCCCCGAGCCACTTAGTTATCACTTTTGCCTTATGGCAAGGTGCTCCAGCATGCTGGAAAAGGCATTGTTCCTTACCAAACTGTTCTTGGATGGTTGGGAGAAGTTGCTCTCGGAGGATGTTTTTGTACCATTCTTTATTCATGGCTGTGTTCTTAGGCAAAATTGTGAGTGAGCCCACTCCCTTGGCTGAGAAGGTCCTCAGCAGTCCAATCCCTGTACCTTTTGGAGAATATCAGTCTGTCGCTGATGTTTTTCCTGGAGACAAGTGGGTTCTTTGCTGCCCTTCTTGACACCAGGCCATCCTCCAAAAGTCTTCGCCTCACCGTGCATGCAGATGCACTCACACCTGTCTGCTGCCATTCCTGAGCAAGCTCTGCACTGGTGGTGCCCCGATCCCGCAGCTGAATCAACTTTAGGAGACAGTCCTGGCGCCTACTGGACTTTCTTGGGTGCCCTGAAGCCTTCTTCACAGCAATTTGGGACACAGCATCACAGTATGGTAAATAGTGGTCACCCGATATTGGTTTTTTGACAGCCGATGCCGATATCTTGGAAAGCA